ATCATTAAATTAAGGCTGTTTTCCTCTACCGATGTCAGATAAGTATTCCTTCATAATCTCTATTCCACTAGTGCCTGCCATTCTGTTCTGGCTTATTGGACCATCTAATGTCATCTCTATAAAGCACTTTGGTTAACACTTTATTTCCAGTGTTTAATGCATGATCACGTCTAGCCCGTACCTGATTGTCAGCTCTGTCCGTTTGCCTCTGTAGTTGCGGCACAAATCATTATTTAATGTATTCAGGAGACTTCTGCTCAGGTTCACGCTGAGTGTTTGCAGAGGTCCAATCACTTAGAGCAACAGTAACAACCTGGGTGGCTGCGAGTGTGAACATAAACAATCAAAAGTGACCTTTTGAAAGTCAAAACAGTAACAATGAGTCTGCACGTACATGAGTGAAGCAGGTGGAAAAACAAGGGAAGTCTAACAGTGCGAGGCTTGTCTACACAAACACCCTGTCCTATGTCATACAGTGAATGCTCAGAGAGAGCTGATAGCCTTTCAGTTTGTTAAAGCTCAGGTTCATGGCAGTCTGTGAAAAGAGTAGACGACAAAATCATGACTGAATTCTTATTAGTGCAAAATCTTTCCTACTACAACATTCAAAGCAACGACTCTAGCTCTCTCTGTACTACATCAGGCAGTACCGCTACCTCAGCCAAACCAGACCTGCTCTGCAGGCTTGGTGATGACTGCTACTGTGTGAGCGTGTGCTTTTAGTTTGCTCCGGGGTCCTTCCAGCCTCCGAATGTCTTCTCCAGGTGGAGGGCCACAGCGAGGGTCAGGTGGTCCTGCAGCTTCCCTGCAACGACCTGCACGCCCAGAGGCAGACCCTCCTCACCCACACCCAGAGGACACTGAGTCACCGGCAGCCCCAGTATGTTAATTATACCTGTGTATGGAGAAAAAAAAAAAAAAAAGCAAATGTCTTAATACATGGAATAAATCTTTTTAACAGCCATAATCCAGAAATAGCAACTTCGAAAATGACTGTCAGACCTAAATCACAGAGTGTCCAGGATGTAAAAAGGTTATGAAGGCTCCCACAGTTCAAAGTGCAAAGTGATGTGACTGAAAAGTACAAAGGATAACCTGCACACAGACTGCAAAAGTCCAGGTGCAAAAAAACAAAACAAAACTGACCACCAAAGAGCTTTGTGTATTCCTCACTAGTACTGGTTTGGATCCTCTTGTGCCTTCAGACCTGCTTTAATTCTTCATGGCACAGATTCAACAAGGTGCTTGAAACATGACAGCGTCACACAGCTGCTGCACATCCATGATGCGAGTCTCCCGTTCCAAAAAAAACAACAACAAAAAACAAAAAACGAAAACAAAGTTGCTCTACTGGTGAGTAGAGGCCGTGTGAGTACAGGGAACTCACTGTTATGGTCAAAAAACAAGTTCGGACCTTTCTTTGTAAATGATTGTGTGGGAAAGTCCCAGCAGATCAGCGGTTTCTGGATTTTAATGGCTGTGATATTAATTGCGATGCTACTATGCAGATGTTGGCTGTTAAAATAAGATCAGGTGAGAAGTGATACGCCACTGACCAGTGTATGAGAAGTCGAAGGGTCTTAGGAGCGGGTGGTGGTGTTTGGGGGCCACTTTGGGGTGAGAGGGGTAAAGGAAAACACCGTCAGCACCCAACAGCTCATCCACCTCCTTCTGCAGCTTCTCCTTCATCTGGATGATGGAGGACGGTGTTTTGGACATGTGAGTCATCTCGATCAGGCCCACACCTGAAGACGTCGGTTCACAGAAACTTTAAATGCCATTTATTACTTAATCATTTTTATATATAACAGTGTTTTGTTTTTTTTAATTTAGAGCTACTATTGAACACTTTGGAAGTCTGTATTGCAGCCTTTACTGATAGCAGCGAGGGTGTGGTCTGATCTTCCTATCATCCACTTCAGCAGCTCCCACAGAGGCCAAGCTGGTCGTCCTGGTTCTCCCATCAACTCAGCAAACATCTGAGGAGGCTGGGAGAGAAAAAAAACAAAAAACAAAAAACAAAAAAAAATTTCAGTTCTTTAAAAGGTCATAGAAAGGACACAGACTGTATTACTTCTCCATGTTCTTTATTGCTTCCTTTCAACCACGGTTGCTATTTTCTGCTGACAGACTGTCCAAGTTGTCATCATTATCGTGCCAGTAACCTGCGCCTGTGTGGCATCACTACACGAGGCTCAGGTTTAAAGTTAGTAA